AAGCTCGCTTGTCCAGATGCTCAAATTCAACCTCAAGAGCTACTCAGTTTCTCCAAGTCACAGGTTCACTAACTCTCCAACCCTTTTTTTTTTTTGTCTTCTATCAGTTGCTTCCGCAACAAGAAAACAATAAAACCCTAATTGGAAGTAGGAACAACAACATTATATAGACTATAAAGAACTGAACTGATTAATGTCTCAATTGGCTTCACAGGCTGATTACATGCTTGGTAAGAATCCTCAGTCCATGAGTTACTTAATCGGATATGGACCAAAATACCCAATTCATGTTCACCACAGAGGTTCTTCGATTGCTTCTATATTCGCACTCCATTCTTCAGTTGGCTGTGTGCAAGGATTCGAAGCATGGTATCGTAGATCTGAAGAAAATCCGAATGTTTTATACGGAGCTCTTGTTGGAGGTCCCGATCAGAATGATAACTTCAACGATGACCGGTCGAATTATGAACAGACTGAGCCAACACTTTCGGGCAGCTCTCCTCTCATAGGTCTTTTTGCTAAGCTGCACTCTGTTTCTGGAGGTAGTGGTGAGTAGTCGTACATCTGATATACAGAATTTATTATTTAGTCTTCTCCTCCAGTTAATATTTAATTATTTCATATTGCTGAAATTCTACAGGCTCATATTCTAGGGTATCATCAGTACACTACCAAACACTGCCAGGTCCGTACTGATGATAGCTATATCCATTGATTTTCTCTTCGTTTTCTGAGGTTGCGGCCTCCAGTTATAGATTGTATGAGATTGTGTTATTGTTATATATGTGTTACCTAATCGATGAGATATATTTCTACTAAAAATTTAACAACGAAGAATTATTTTTTTCAGCTTCCTATGACAAGCGAATGCCAGAGTACAGCCTAAAAACAACAGGCGAGTGAAAAATGGATGAAAAAGTTTTTGATGCAGAAGATTATCAGAAGTAGTAGTTAACAGAACAAGAAATCTAACAGAGTTACTTCATGATATGTTTGCAGATGAAGAACCAATTCAGTTCTTGCACTCAATAACAAGTTCATGGACGATCGGATCGACGACTTACTTCCGGCACAAGGTAATAATAAAGAACACATCAGAGAAGCCAATTAATGATCTTAAGCTGGTGATCGAAAATCTATCTGGGTCTCTGTGGGGTTTGTCTCCAACTCAAGAAAAGAACACTTATGAGCTTCCCCAGTGGTTCAAGGTTCTGAGCCCTGGCTCGGAGTGCAGTTTTGTCTACGTTCAAGGTGGACCTCAAGCTAAGGTTTCAATTTTGAGCTATCACTGACAAATTCAAAAGGCAGAAAATCATGAGATGATCGGACAAATGAATTTCCTATAAAGTCTAGAATTTTTGTTCCTTTCTTTAACCAGGCAATTGTATAATTCATATCTATATATGCTTCTATATTGACCTTTTATTACTATTGTTCTTCCATATTTTTGAATTACCTCTTCAAATTTTAATTAATTTGGATATCAAAATGACCCTCTAAGACAAACGTTGTGAAAAAGAAGAGCTCATATATCAGAGGAAATAAAAAATAAGCCCTACTGCAATACAGTCATGCACGAGGAATATGACAATTTTGCTAAGGCTGTGAAAAAGAAGACTACAGTAGTAAATATACTATACTGTTTGTATATTAATACTTTATTATAATTTATTAAAATATATATTATTTATTTTCTATAATTTAATATTTTATGTATATATTCTATTCAGTCTATATTTAAAGATACTTGTATTTGAAATTGAGTGAAATTTCACCCAAACCATCAGCAGACATTGCCACGCACCCACCCACCATACAAGGCAATTCTTCCAACCTGTACATGCACAGCAGGGACAGACAACAAAAATATGAAAAAACTGGAGCCACAATCCGAAAATTGATAGCACTTTTTTTCTCTCTATGAACAGAATTAAGGCAAATGTAAATCTCAAAATTTATATCATGATATTTTTTCTGGGCGAATAAAATTGACAGAAATATTTATCAAATCTCACAGATCCAATAATCCACCTAACAAAATAACAAGTCCACACGGAAAATCCCAAAATTCTAAAATAGGTAAATGAATACTATCGGGTGAAGCTTGGCAAAAACCAACTCCCTTCATAGCTTCACTCTTTTACTCATCATCATTGAAGGTAGTCTTCCTCCCTGCACGGATGCAAATTATACCAAATTTAAGAAAACTGTGGAACAAATTGGACAGGCACCGCAACACCCACAGAAGAATGCAGGGAAAAAGGGTCAAAAGTAGCGAATAATGTTACCTTGGGAAGAAGTCATGCTGGGTTTATTGGGTCCACGACCTCTACCACCAGCACCGCCACGACCACCACGTCCTCTGCCTCCAAAACGGCCTCCACTGTCCCGTCCACCAAAGCGGCCCCCACCACTCCTACCACCAAAACGACCCCCTCCATCTCTGCCTCCACTTCTCCCACCACTTCTTCCACCACCATCACGGAAATCACCTCTTGGCTTTGCCTCTTCTATAGTCAATGAATAATCACCAAGATTACTTCCACTTAGTTCAAGAGCCTTGTTGAAGGCTTCACCATCATTGAAATCCATATAGGCAATTCTGAGATGAAATTATAAAAAAAATCAGTAAAATTAGTAACAGAAGAATTTTAGTAGTCCGTTCTTTTAAGCAAATACCCATAAAACTGCATAATTAAACCATATCAAATGTGTCTCAATAAATTTAATATTCTGTGAATCCATGAAAAGCTCTTTCATATTGCCTATTGAAATACACTTCCGGAATCCAATTAAAATCTGACCAAAAATAAGACAACATACCCCTTAAGAGCACCACTCTCCCGATCAAGCGGGAGTGATATCCTTGAAATTTCCCCACAAGAACTAAAATGCTCTTGCAGTGAGCTCCTAACCTGTGTATAGTTTGTTCAAAGAAAACATTTCAGTGCATTGGTATGAAGACAATTTTGATTTAAAAAAATTAATGACATAACAGCAAAATCTAGATTTGATTGGTTGACAAAAAAGTTACCTCTTCCTCTCCAAGGGAATGATCAAATCCCTTAACAAATATTGTCTGAGACTGGCCTCTACCACCCTTCTGGAATGTGTCACTTCCTTTGCTGCCAAAATTTACAGCTTATAATCATTAAACATGCAAAAAGTCAAGTAACTTCATAAACGGATCAAGAGAGAAGTAGTACCCGCTGTGTGGTGTATATGCACCTCTTTCACGAGCCAAATCAAGTCTGACATCACGATTAAGCAGAGATTTACCATTTAATTCCAGTGCCTGTTAACAGTAAAGCAAAATCTGATTAATACATGACCTCAAACCTCTAATGACAAGAGTCAAGCATCTTTGAAGCACTGAATAGTAAGAATTAGCTGAGGAAAAAACATGTTCAATTCAAAATCGTATAAGGCAATAAAAAAGGTTCCAATAACAAAATGTTCACCCAACATCCAAATGCAACCCTAAGACACCTGTTAAAGTTGCCGAGTCAAATCAGATATATGATCATATATACAAAAACACACATATATAAATATAGAAGTCCATACCTTCAGTGCTGCCTCTGCGGTGGAAAACTCAACATGTCCAAAGCCCTTAAAATTCCCTTCATGATCTGTGGCAAAACGAACATCAACAACTTCACCAGCATCTTTGAAGAAATTTTCCCTGAAAGGAAAAGAACAGTTAGGCACTGCAGCAGCAACAACTGATTCACAAGGTAGCAAGACATACACATCAGCTCGTTCAACACTATAAGCAAGGTTCCCAACAAACAAAGTCTTCGATCCAGGAGTCTGTGCCTTCGGTGTGAATGGGGTCTTGGGCTACATTTAACTCATAAAATTTATAACGAACTGAAACCGAAACTAAATTAAGTAAAATATGATTCACGGATATTTTTCTTATTTTAGATCAACCTGCTTAGTAACAGTTTCTGCATCTACCATCTCTACATCAGTTCCCTGTTTTGCACAAAAGTAGAGTTGCTTCAGGTAACAGTATTCATAGTTGATATTGAAATACTAAAAGCACAAAAAGGAAGAACAAATTTCCACATCAACATAATCTACAGTTCTAGAGACTGCTCCTAGCACCAAAGTTTAAATGAACTCATTTTAGGAATATGTTCACATCCTGCACAACAAATGCCCAGTTTAAATATGGAGCACAAACACACCCATTGACGAATTTTGCTACTGATATCTAACGAGTGATTGGCTTTAAGGAGCCAAGAAACTTTAAAATATTTAAAATCTCAGGCCTCAGTTCTTTAATTGCTTGGACTACAACGCCTTATAAGATGAGTTTGTTTAAAACTTTTTTTTTAAATTAACTATTTGTTTAAAATATAACCCTACGATTTGAAACACATTTGAGGCTTGAGACAAAATTTATAAAATTAGTTGACATATCGACATTTGTTTGGTATGCACCAACTTTTTATGAGACCTCATCTAAAATAAAAGCTATTCCTACCAGCTAGTCCCAAATTTCAAAAGTCATTACAAAGATCCAATAATAAGCTTGTCGCCTAAATTTTCAGCTGAGAAAACCAGCCTTTCGAAATCTTGATATCAACTCAAAAAGAAAAAGTTAAGATTTTGTACAAGATTCACCCAAAAATCCCCCAAATGGTTCTACTAATCTGAAACCACGTCAATGCTCCTCTAGAAACCAGGGAGAAACAAGAATAACACATTAAATAATAATATTAAAAATTCACCTTCTTTTTTGGAGTCTCTTTTTCATCCTCACTTTCCTCATCATCTTCTGAATCTTCACTACTATCTTCATCAGTGCTTTCCTTTTTAACATTTTTAGCATTTGAGGAAACCTTGACCTGTGAATATATGAACCAAATATATTTTAAAAAAACACCCAAGGTCACTAACAGTAGATTAAGGCAAAACAAACTTTTACCTTTTTCTTTGAAGGCTGTTCATCATCACTTTCCTCTGAGCTATCATCTCTTTTATGATCAACCTTTTTCTGTTTAATATAGAGAAGTAAGTTGAGCATCAAACTCAAAAGCAAAGCCTGTCTTACCTCACCTTAACGTCTTTTTAATGCAAAATTCAAAAATTAATCAGAACTGGCTAAAACGGTAGTGGCTAACAAACAGAACATGTTCTAAATTGAAAACATTAAGGTGCTAAACCAAAAAAAATTCACCAGGCAAACAATAAATTTAAACGGAAAAGGCAAGAAATGGATCAAAGTAATATAAATAAAAGGACAGATAAAAAAAAAGGAAAATAATCCTCCAAAGCATCCTTTACAGCCTCATTTGCCACAATTTTAAATGACAAAGTGCTGAGGTGGAAAAAAGAAAGATAATCCACAAAAGAAAATGTTTATACTGCTAGCACAAACGAATTTGCAGACTTATTTTTCTTTATACTAGTTCCACACCGTTTATTATGATCAAATTACAAATTCAAAATGGTTGATGCAGCACAAGGAAGACTTGGTCCTTAGCTTGAGAAATAAATCAAGTTCAAACAGATTTTGTATCATTGGAAACCTCCAGGATAAGCAAGCCAAAAATCTATTTCATGAAATAATATTATGGAAAATTGTTTTTCCATTCAATAGCAACAGCTAAAAATAATGCTGGCAAAAATCCAGATACTCACATTCTCATCATCTGAATCTGAACTTTCATCATCTGAACTATCACTAGATTCCTTCTTGGCTGCAACCAAGCCATTTTTTGCAGTAGGTGGCACTTTAGTTCCTTTTTTCTGCATGATGTAAAAAAACAGTAAGTTCCATATTCACCTCTAGTGCTCATAAAAAGACTAATGGAAGAGTACGCATTTCTCACAGTATCCTCATCTGAGGAAGTGTCATCATCCGAACTACTATCTGAACTTGAGCCGTCAATTGATTCATCCTTTTTCTTTGAAGCAGCTGAGGGGCCATTCTTTTGGGATGATGCAGGTACCTTCGGTTTAACATCCTGAAGTAGAATTTAATCGTGTGAAAATGAAGCTGGGATGCAAAAGAATAAACAAAGTATTTGTCCACTCACCTCTTCATCTGAAGAATCATCTTCCTCTGATGAATCTGAATTGCTTGCTGGCTTGCCTTTCTTTACTGGAGCAGCAGCTGATCCACTTTTTATGACCACCGGTTTCTTTGCAGCTGGAGGTTCCTGATTTAAATATGATAAGAAAAATGTCACTCATTCAAGTTAACTTCCAGAATAGAAATCACAAACTAAGGGATGTTGTATGCTGCTCACTTCATCTGAAGACTCGTCCTCAGAGGATGAATCTTTTTTACTAGGTTGCCCACCTTTCTTTATGCCAGCAGGTTCCTGAGTTAGATAGGGAAAATGATAAATGTCCCCAAAACTTCTTTTTTTTTTAAACAAGTGCACCCAAAACTTATTTTCATGAGGTAAAATCCAAATAAGCACATATGTATTAACGCACATACAAACAACATGAACAGGACGAAAACTCAGAGCACTACTCACCTCATCACTGCTAGAACTATCATCTTCTGATGAAATACTAGCAGGCTTCTCCTTCTTTGCAAGGTTAGCAGCAGTGCCATTTTTAGCAGCTGCTGGCACTACCTTCTTAGCTTCAGGTTCCTAGGCAAAAAGCAACTAAGAGCATAAATTGCATGCTCTTTTCTTCTTATGTACATAAAAGCTATAATTTTATTATTCTCCTTACTTCATCTGAAGAAGTTTCATCATCATCAGAAGATTCCTCACTGCTAGACTCCACATTTTTCTTAGCAATGGCATCAGGCACAGGTTTCTTTATAACAGCAGGTTTCTGAGATAAAAATTAATGTAACTAAACAGAGGATGTGGCATATAATCAAACATATACTTAAAAAAAATTCTGTAGAAGCTTCTGGTTCAAGAATTCTTCACCTTATCATCATCAGAGTCGTCTTCTGAAGAAGATGAACTGCTGTCTGGCTTGCTTTTCTTAGCTGGCACAGAGCCATTTTTAGCAGCTACTGGCTGCTTCTTTGCGGGTGCAGGTTCCTGAATTAAGATGCAAACAAAATGCTCCAGTCTCTTCCTTTTCAGAAATAGAAACATAGACAACAAAATGAGTATCTCTTACATCATCAGAAGAAGATTCATCCTCGCTACTAGATGACTGGGCCTTCTTTGCAGCAGCCTTAACAGCTCCATTTTTAGCAGGAACTACACTTTTCTTTGTGGTAGCAGGCTCCTGCAAGAATTCAACAACAAAACTAAACAAAAAATACAAGAACAGTAGAAATAAATAATTTGGAACGCTGCTCACCTCATCAGAAGATGAATCATCACTGCTGGACTCTTTTACAGGCTTTTTCTTCTTGCTGGATACCTTAGCAACCTTCTGCTTTGTCAAGGCAAACCATATAATTAATTATAAATCCTTCATAACACAATTAGAAACATGTTTACCAAAACGTGAACAAAAAGTTAACGACAAAGCAGACTCAATGATCCACAAGTCAACCATCACAGTATATCAGAATAATCAAGTACAAAAACATCCTGATAGTCATTATGATTTATATGCAAAGGATGATTATCAACACCTAGACTAAACATGTTTCATTAGAGCATATCCAATCTTGTAAATAGAAATGTAAGAAATGGAAGATATAAATTAGATTGGAACTTTTCATCCAAAAAAAAATGATTGCTACCTTCTGCTTTTCCTCTGATTCTGAAGAATCAGAACTACTGGTTTCCTCTTTCTTCTTCTTCTGTGTCTTTGTCTCAACCTTTACCTTTTTAACAGCCTGTTCCACCACTTCATCTCTCTTCTGCTTCTTTGTGCTCAATGGCTTCTCAATAGCTTCTTCAGCTCCTCTCTTACCTTTTTTATTGTTACAAAGAACTCAATGTCAAAACCAAAAGAAAGCAAACAAAGGCGAAGTATTTTACCCCATGTACTCCATTTAAGCTAGAGTAGAACTGCCTGCTCTTGGCAGGTTTGGCAGTTTAAAGAGGACAGTACTTATAAAACAAACCAAAAAGATAGCTAGAATTCAAAAGCTTTTAACAAAAACCAAAAAAACAAATCATTTTAAATAAACGCAGTGTAAATAATTATTTATAGCACTAACAAACATCATGTAATAAAGAATTGCAAATACTTTACAATGATTACACACTAGATTAACTTTATACGTAGCACTATCAATATTCATATATTAAATCATAGTATACTGAAAATATAATTAGTGAAGATCTAAACCGGACAGAAAACCAAACACAACCAGCTGAAATTAGTTTGATTTTATTTCAATCCTGATTCCGCTTCAATTTAGTTTCAGAACGAAATGGTCGGAATCGATTTCACGGCCATCGAAACAGTTTTCAAAAGCTCATAAATTAATTGCGTTCGAAGAATTAGCTTCAAAAAATCCCCATAACACCGAAACATCATAAATATCTATTTCAATTGTGATAAGGAACGACGCCTATGTGACGCCTCAAAATCACCGTCACTTTTCCTACATCTTCAAAAGCAGTTTTTGTACCTTTCTTCGCCGGAGTGACGGCAGCAGCGACAGCAGCCACTGCTTCGACCTGCAGAAGAACAACAGTAAGCATAAACAAACCCAGTCTTCACACAGCTTAGGGAGACTACAACATTTTTTCAAATAGAACTAAAGAGCTAACAAAAATTTCGTCAAATAAATGTACCTTGGGAATCGATTTCTTGCTTGACTTGCCCATTTTTGATTGAAGAAATGAAAAGGAGAAAGTTTCGGGTAGGGTTTTTGCTAAAGAAAATGGAGACTCTCCAAAAACCCAAAATGATGGCAAGACAATAATATGTTCGGGGTTTTAAAGTGAGGAGGAGGCCTTCGTCACTAGGGTTTAGGGTTTCATTCGCGAGTACGATCTACACCGCCCGCGGAGCGCGTGATGTTGTTGCGGCGCAATCGGCACCATTCATGACCAATAAGGTCCAGGTGTAGGGCTATGATCAAGGACGTCAGATTTGGACACGTGTAGCAGTGAAGATATTTTCTCCGATTCTTTTTTAATTATAATAAACTAATAAAATTCTTATTAAAAATATAAATCAGGTATAATTATAAAAATAGTTCCTAATATTTTAATATTTTATTTTATATTATTGTAAATATATTCATATTTATTATATTTTTTATTAACTAAAATTAATATTTAATTAGTCTATATTGAGCTTGATCCAAAATTAATCATTTGTAAATCCAATAAAAAAATCTCTAATTGTAATTAGGAGTATGAATTATTTTATTTGAATAAATAAATTAATTAAAAATTTAATTTACAAACAAATGTTAATAACCAAATTGAAAAACAAGAAAAAAGTTAAAAGACTATTTTTTGCAATTAAGCATAAAATAATATAATGCCATAAATTAAATTATTTTTTAAAAATTGTATTAAATTTTTTAATAATCTCAAAAAAAATTTAAACACCACAAAATATTTTTTTAATTAAAAAAAAATAACTTGATAAGATAACATTCAATTTAATTATTACAGACTCAATAATAAAATAATAACCTATTGAATAAAATATTATAAATAGAATATTAACGATCCATAATATATTATTAAATTAAAAATTATATATTATTAAATAACAATATTCAGTATATATATTAAATCTAAATACAATTTTGATCCTTTTATGGTCACTCTCTCAATTTTATATTAAATTAGTCTTGTAAAAAAAATTAGATTTAATTCATTTTTTTTATTAACTATTAACAGTATTAATTTATGTGTATTGTGTGAAATTTATTAACACATAACAACTTCTACTTAATACAATACAAGTTAAATATTATATCAGATATTACATTTAATATAAAAA